GCCTATCAAAAGAAACCGCTGCGGAAGGGCTATGTGCCAGTTTCCAGTGGATGAGGGAATGCAGTGTGATAACTGCAAGAGATGGTTTCACAGTATGTGCACGAACCTTACTCCAGCAGCATACAAACGCTGCTGCAAACCTCTAGCGAACTGGTTGTGCAACGACTGCTGTAGTACAACTAAACTCCGTATTACAGAAGCCATAGCTACTCTTAGTGGGGCTTTAAAGCTCATGGACTGCAAGCGTCCTCCACCACAGAAGAATACCGACTATTGCTCAGATAGCGATGACGTGACTAGCGTCATTGACAAAACAGCACATGTCCCAGATGCGACCTTGCCAATAAGTGAGTGCTCTACAGCACAGAAGAACACCCACCATATTACAGACACCCAGGTCGCCCCCACGATACTGGATGAGCCCTCCAGTGACAGTAATGGAAAGACTGCCGTGAAGAAGAGGCGTACCAGGGGTCGAAAACCTGCAGCTCCAGTCGCCCAGGGACTGGCGGAACAAGCCTCATCCACACCGGTGAGCAGCAGACAGACGAACCCCATTAAGATTAGCGAGGAGGACGCCAATGAATGGCGCACCGTAGTCTCTCGCAAAAAGCGAGATAAGGATAACACTTCGGCCACACCGCCCAAGAAGGATAGAAACACACTTACGCCTCAGGGCAAGAAAGTCACGGAAAGCAAACCCGATCTCTCTGACAGGTCTCTCATTCTCCACAAAGTGGAGGAGTCACTGGCCCTCGACCCTAAGACCAGATTCGAGCATGACCTTAACTTGGTCAAGCCCCTTTTAGACAAGCTACTGCCACAAACAGTATCAGGCATTACTATACACAGCGTATACAGAATAGGTCAAAAGCCTGACCCTACAGTAAGTGAACCTGTACGTCTCCTCAAAGTCGTACTAAACTCTAAAGCAGAGAGGGATGCTATTCTAAGCAACTCTCATATTCTCAAAGGATCAGGGATATATGTCCGCGCTGACTTAAGCCTAGCAGACCGTGTCAAAAGACAGGCTGCGGCACTAGAATTAAGTGAGCGACGCCGGAACGGTGAGAAGAACCTTAAGATTAAGGGTTTTCGGGTTGTCCGAGTTCGCAGTTTAATGATCCCGAAACCTCTGTGGGTGGGCCGGGGAAGCACCAATCTGAATTAACAGTCTGCTACACAAACGCCCGCAGCCTGTTAAATAAAAGGACTGAGCTGGCAAACATGATAGAAACCGGAAACCCGGATGTAATTATTATCACAGAGACATGGCTCACACCCGATGTCACTGACAACGAAGTTAACCTGCCAAACTTCGAAGTGCACAGGGTAGACCGACTAAACCGCAAAGGAGGGGGCGTAGTCATCTACCTCAAGAAAGGCTTAACCGTGCGTAGTATCGAAGCACTCGCCCACGAAAGTGAGTCGTGCGAACTTCTACGCTGCAGACTTAAATGCATAGGCCAAGACATTGACCTCATTGCTGTGTACCGCAGTCCTGACTGCAGTGCAGACGACTTCCTAATAGAGAAGCTAGGCTCCTGGACTTCAAAATGTCGAAGTCTCGTAGTCGGTGACTTCAACGCCCCAACAGTTGACTGGTCGAGCCTAACAACTCCATCTTCAGTCAACTCCTTTGATCATAAACTGCTAGAATCTAGTATATCGCTAGCCCTAGTCCAACATATCATTAAGCCCACGCGCTATGACTCACAGCACTCCTCGTCAACTCTGGACCTAGTGTTCTCACACGGTGAGGATGTGGATCTCATACAACATCTTCCTCCGTTAGGAAGAAGTGACCATGCTGTGCTCACTTTCAAGTTCACAGCAACGGCAGCAAGGGCCAAAACCCCAGCTCGACCAAACGTTTGGAAAGCTGACATAAATGCGATCGTCTCAGCAGCCAACTCAGTAAACTGGTACATCAATCCAGAGTCCCAAGTAGAAGCCGCATGGAACCAATTTAAGCAACTTTACGCCCAAGTAACTGTACCCTTCATCCCTTGGTCTGTTCCAAAGGGTCGGAAACATTCCCCCCTTGGATAAACCGGGAGATTCGTAAGTTACTCAGACGTAAACGCAAATGTTGGAACCTGTTTGCAACACTTGAGACTTCTGAGACCAGGGAATTATATACTACTGCTAGAAATAAAGCTATCGCAGAAATCCGCCAATCAAGGATGAAGTTCGAGACACACCTGGCCCAAAATGCAAAGGCACAACCTAAAAATTTTCTCGTACTTGAATTTCAGGAAAAAACACCCAATGGTGTCCCAAACCTGATTATTGACAAAGATACAATCGAAGAAGATCAAGAAAAAGCAGAAGCAATGGCAAACTACTTCTCCCAAGTCTTCACTCAGGAGTCATCACTGCCTATAGGATCAGCTCTGGCTGCATCAGAAGAACATGGGATAGATTCCGTTGACATCGACCAAGGCATCGTGCTCAACTTCTTAATGAAACTAGATGCAGGAAAATCAATGGGTCCTGACAGTCTTCATCCAAGGCTTCTCAAGGAGCTATCAGCCCACATAGCCGGCCCCTTGACCACGATCTTCAAGCTATCTCTCCTAAATGGAGTGTTGCCACGTGATTGGAAAGACGCCATAGTAACCCCCATACACAAAGGAGGATCAAGACAAAGCCCTTCAAATTACAGGCCTATCAGTCTCACCAGCACTTTAATCAAGACACTGGAAAGAATTATCAAGAAAAGCATCATGGCTTATCTGGAAAATAGCAGCTTGTTATCTGGAGCACAGCATGGCTTCCGGAGGAACCTCTCATGCCTGTCAAATCTCCTGACTGCAAGAGAAAGCTGGGTCAAATCAAAGGACAACAGAAGACCCGTTGACGTCGTCTTCATAGACTTCAGTAAAGCCTTTGATAAAGTACCTCACAAAAGACTACTCATGAAATTGGAAAGTCTTGGTATCAAAGGCAGACTACTAGACTGGCTCAGGGAATTCCTCATAGATAGGAGGCAGAGGGTTAGGATCAACTCAAAACTCTCCTCCTGGACAGCAGTAAGTAGCGGAGTGCCACAAGGCACGGTTCTCGGTCCTCTCCTTTTTATTCTGTATATCAATGAGTTACCTCTGCTCACCGACTCCCCTATGGTCCTATACGCAGATGACTTAAAAATTTGGAGAGAGCTGAAGGGCAACAGTGATACGCTCACGTTGCAAGACGACCTCAACAAATTGTCGGAGTGGTCTGTTGAATGGATGCTCCCGATCAATGTGGCAAAATGTGCAACCATGCGCATTGGACAAGCAAGCACGAGCTCCTACGAACTAGAGGGAATAACACTTCCATCAGTTCAGACTCACTTGGACTTAGGTGTCATAGTTAGCCACGACTTAAAAACTACAGCACACTGTCGCGCGGTGGCTGCACGTAGTTTCAGGTCCTTATGGGCGATTCGCAGAGCCTTTACAAGAATTACCAGAGATATGTTCACCTCCTTATACACATCTCTGGTTAGGTCAAGACTGGAAAACTGCATCCAGGCCGCCAGTCCTTGTCTAAAAGGGGATTCACACATTCTAGAAAGTGTTCAAAGGAAGGCAACACGTATGGTTCACGGCATAGCTAACTTATCATACGAGGAAAGACTAGATAGTTTAAATCTCTTCTCACTGTCATACCGTAGGCAGAGAGGAGATTTAATCACAATGTTTAAAATTTTAAATAATGACTACGGACCTGACCTATTCTCTCTTTTCCTTCCCACCAGGTCGGAACACCTTAGAGGACATAGCAGGAAAGTTCAAAAGCCAAGGAGAAATCATATTGCTGTTGAGTACTGGTTCTCACATCGAGTCATAAACTCTTGGAACCGACTCCCAGAAGAAGTGGTGTCTGCAACCTCAACTGATTCGTTCAAGAAGGGTTTGGACAACCACAGAAATCTACTAGAAAAGGATTAACATAGGCTGCAAGCCTTCTATCCTCAACCAATAAATCTGAAATCTGAACCTTATGCAGAAGATCTAGGTGGTTTAATCTTGTGCGAAAGTATCGACATTTGATCAGTGACAGGGTACTGTTTATATCCAAGATAAAAGCTATCCTCATAAAGATATCACAGGGAAATTGGCTGTAAGGTGATGAGGGTATGGACCAACATAATGTGTAGTATCACAAGCTTTACTATATTCTGTAGAGGCAAAAAGGAATTCCAGCCATAATATGTCTGAGTTCAAAGCAGCTCATTTAGTGCTATTCCTTATTAGCCGCATCACTTGAGTTGTTCTTTGCAGAAAGTGGAAACAAAATATCACTGACATGCAGACGACAGAGCAACTAAAATAGCCACCAACTAGATACCGTAACTTGCATATTTCATGACATCTACCTCCATATTCCTTAACAGTTAGTTCCCGTGGAATGACTTGTTCATGAAACGATTTGCATGAACCTAGCAGCACTACGCTTCCAGAATCACTAATAGATTGAGCCCTGATCTACCTTAAGTTATCAGAGTTACTGCAAGTAAATGCATGTGTGACCCCAGGTGTGAATTTGCTCCTCATGAGTCCCGGTGATACCTACTTGTTACGAAACGATTAAACGAAAGGGCAACCGTTCTTGCAAAGGACTTTTGTGCAAAAAAGACCAATAAGAAGAGAACGGGCCTTTAGAATTAGGCAGTATAAGACATCCATATGAGCCTTTCAAGTCTGAGGATGGAGAAGAACCAGTCTAACCCCGTTCCAGTCAAGAAGCACAACCCCACTATCTGGAAACAAGCATGAAAGGATGACTTTGGTTCATAATAGCTCTCAAAATGTAAACCGAGTATTTAAAAATTTATTTTCCAAAAAGAAATCCATAATTCATCACCTTGCAAAGGGTTGAAAGTCCTTTGTTTAAATACACCACGCTGTCTTTTAACTGACTCACCTTGATGAGGCGGGAGTATTAGATTTTGTCATTGTATTGCCTTGAAATGATTTCGTGTGTCTTATGGATAGTGTAGAACAAGAATGATCCAGTTCAAGTTGAATGACAGTGATATATGTGAGAGGCGAAAGGCACAGTTAAAGGAATGGTGCGGGTCAGAGACAGACCATGCGTCGACAAAAATGCGCGAGCCAGAGAAAATCAAATTCCCTTTATCTGTGCAGCTGCTAGCTGCATGCAGTAATAGTGATTTGGATGAATTCTCCCGTTTACTAAAGTTGGGGACAGATATCAACACTCAGAATGCAGACGGACTTACTAGCACCCATTTAGTATGTTGTGTTTTTCTGTTAAACTATTCATAAGGCTTGCATCAATGTTGACTTTGATTTTCTGAAATTTCTTATCAGCAACGGTGCAAACATAAATCTTCAAGATCATGAGGGATGGACACCTCTGCATGCAGCTGCTTCTGTTGGCTGTTGCGAACTTGCAAGGTTTGTTTAACATTCCTCACTTTTGAATGTGGTTTTTATTTGGTTTCAAGATTTTAGTTGTCACCCAGACCATAAGTTTGACTAAAAATAGTTCGGGCATGGTAAATAATCTCAGTAATAGCTGTCAGTGTTGATTACTTACCAGAGTTTTCAATCCCATAGGCTACTATATGTACTTCAGTCTCCAACATTAGTTAATCTGTGCATCCCTAGTCATACACTTTTGTTCACGGGTATATGTTATTGTTCTGTGCCATTGACTTGTTGTTGATGTTGAAACAAGCGTGTAGAAATTAGGCCGTCAATTGTTTTACGAAACATTCGGATGTGGCGACTACCATGGAAATAACTCACAATGACATGATACAGAGCGCATTGTTTCATATTGTTAAAGTCAAATGGTGGAATGTACTGCCTGTTAGTTGCTTTAACGTTTGCTTGTCATAGACTTAATGCAACCCTTTCAACACAGTGGTTAGTGTACTCTCAACCATGTGAAACCATGTTAACTGAATCCATCAGTCATTTACTGCAGATAAATTTAAGCTTGAAGCAGGTATTTATTTCTACCAAACTGAGCCATGTTTTATCTGAGCACTTCACAGTGGCCTTGTCCGTGAGAGCTGCTTTTGGGAAGATTATATTTACATTCTGTGTATTACTTAAACAATGTACAGATACCAGTTGAACTAGAGTTGTCTATGCACATCGTTTCTTTGTGATGTGCTTTTTGGAATTGTATATATATGTAAAGAGGACATCCGTTTTTATCGTCTGGACTGTCTGTGATTCTAGAGAACTTTGTAGTTTGATCAATTCACTTAAATTTCTGCTGATGTTTTCACGTCTCATTCTTTGTGGGATATCCACAACGTCTAAAAGATTTGATGTTATAGTCGTTATTTACTAATGTTAGGCAAGTTGCTTGATACAACAGTTATTCCGCTAGTGTGAACTGATAGACTTCTGTTAGCCTAATTTGAATAATTGAGAATATCTTGGGAACAAACTTGTATCCTTCAGAGATAATAGCTTCAACTAAGTCAACTGTTGGTTCTCTCTCTTTTGTGTTTCACATGTTTTCAGTTTAAACAAATAAAATATTGCAAGTGTAACATATTTACCAGAGGATTCATGTATAATTTATTGTATACATGCAAACAGGACAGGTGAAAATAGTGAAGGTTGGATTTCACATTGCAGTTTAACAGTCCAAATCAGTTCACCTCATAACTACAACACTTAGAAAAAAGAGTTAGAGATAATAATAGATGTAAAAGGCATTTGGTATTGTGATTAAAATGAAGTTGGGGTGTATAAAAAACATTCGCACCGGTTGGAACAACTTGAAACTATACCCTGCTCTTGTATTAAGTTTCGACTACATATCTGCACCATATTATGGGCGGAAATTGGTTAACGTGCACTTTTCTACATGGTCTGAAATAACAGTTTCAAGGTTTGTTTTTTCTTCGTGTAATCATCCTTTTGGTTGTCTTTTAAGATGCATGTATTGCAGCCGAAACCAGCTATTATATCCTTTAATAGATAACGCAAAATAGGCACTTAAATGACTGAGGGTTTAAAATTTCACTAACAATTTTATTTCTTTTCCCCCAACATCCTGCTTATCGTCCGCATTTCTCGCCTGGTTACTTCGACCATTCTAAGAAAGTACTTTACCTATATCAAAGCTCTATAAAGTTTATTCAAACTTCATTAGTCTGTCAGGTCTAGAGGAAGTTTGTAGAGTTTATTGATTATTTGCTTTAGCCAAATATCCAGCTGACAATCAACCAATATGGTGCTTCTATGGAATCTTCAATTAGCGTTTGGAATTAGTATAGTCTAGTTGGTGAGCACTACGACGTAATGTGGATGTACGAATCATTTATCTAGGCGCTTGATTTCCTACCAGTCGGTCAAGGGTTCTAACCCCGCTCCGTGCACTAAAGTTTGGACACCCACAGAGACAGTATAACCAGCCGTCTTCTTTGCGAAATGTATAGAATTTCAATTAGTTTTTGAGGAATACTGAGTTTGGTTTTGAGACCACAACTTAAATTTTATGTAATGGGCTATACCTTGAAATGTCTCTCCTATAAATATTCTCCTCCTTTGTGTTCAAATGTAATCACTCATTAGCTAAGAGTCTATTTTAACGTATTTACTTATCTGATGGTGCATTGAATGCTACTTACACGTGTTTTTCCCTTTTTCATGTTTTGCGTATAAGTATTACTTATTACCATAAGAGGCTCTGTCCGTCTCTATCTGGATTTAACATAGAACTTGGCACCGAAGTGCACCAGTTCGAGTTGCCACGTTCCAAATAGCACACAAAGGTAGACAAGAAGATGAGTAAAGAGAATCAACAGAGTTTGACAAGTATGAGTGAAACATAATGGGTAATGGTAGAAAGAAATATGAAAGATTACAGAGACTGAATACATCTGCCCTGGCCATTGACAACGATTTTGAGCCATGTCACCTATTGTCTCCAGCCATTGATTCCTAGAGTCCCGAGGGCCCCAACCCGGAAGTCTGCATCTCCCTACCTACCTGACTCAGTTTAACTGTCAAGGATTTCATGGATTGATGAGGCCATGTTTTTGTTTGGTCACCACTTACCCTTTTCCAACCTGCACCTATATCAGCTGGTAATGCCCGTCGGTGGGGGGTGGCGATGGTTAGGCATGCGCAGCACGTCACCTAGCCATCTCAATCTATGTAAGTTTATTGCCTCGTCGATTGATTTTACCTCTTTGCCCAACACTACGCCTAACGTCAACATTACTTACACCTTATTAAACCACCTAACGTGAGACAGAGATCGTAGACATCTATGATGAAAAACAGTCAACCTTTTCATGTCTTCAACTCGTATTGGAGATGTTTCAGAGCCATAGAGAAGGATGGAGCGAACTGCTGGGCAGAGAAGTACATACGTCCCTTGGTTGACAGCCGGATGTCACGCTTACGCCAGAGATGGTGTAAGTTAACAAAAGCAGCTCGAGCTTTTGGGATCCGTGTTGAGATTTCGTCGCTAACCAGTGTCCGTTGGTGCTGATACAACTTCCCAAATAGGTGAAGTGGTCAGTATGTTCTATCACTTCACTCTCTATCACTAAGCTAGGTAGGAGTTGACGTAGTCCAGTCCTGTAGCAGCATCTTACATTTTACAGGGGTGAATCGCATGTCAAACATACGAAGATTGCAGCTCAGCTCAAGGTGTTCAGATGGCTCTGCTGGATTTTGCCAGCATCCTCCCCTAACAGGATTATGTCATCTGCATATTCTAAGTCCATAAGACTATTCCCTGGTAACAAGTCGATTTCTAAGTCGTTATGTTCAGTTAAGGATACTTCCATTAGCATATCTATGATGAGAGACAGTCATTGTTATTATTACTAAGCAGAACTGCACTGTGTATAAAAGTTTCCAATATGTGTCTATTAATTTATTGAAACGATTTTTTCCTTATAATGAGAACAGCAGGAGACTAGAGTTCGAATAGTAGTAGTAGTAGTCTGTCATTTGTTTTGTTTTTTATCTACTGTGATGTTCTAGGTGACATATATAAATGTGTGTCACTCACCTATTCACTACCCACTGTTCACCTCACTATGTTGTGACAGCTGAATTAAAAGTGTAATAATAATATGAAAATGTCTATTTTGTGGCGAAAATTGTGACTTCAATTCCCTCGAAACTGCTCACTGTCTATATTAGTTTACGCTAGTTAGTAGTGGTAGTAACAATTCTGTTAAATTAAAAAAGAAAGATTGAAATTTTGAGTTGGTTACTTTAAAAAAACATTGAGCTGTATCTATCAGAAAAAAAACAGGTTGTTTTTTCAGGTATGATTTTTGTCGATACTTTACCAAGGTTAATGACCGTGTTAATCCCGGCTTTTTTTCCTTCACGTTCCCAGTGGAACATAGGGCTTCCAGCTGCTAGTGGCTTGAAGTTTCTGTAGCAGTATTTAATTTTACAGGATGGGGTTGCTAGCCAGCCTCATGCCCAGCCTTTCCTCTTTACCAGCATTATTTCTGGCTTAGTGAGGTAAAGGAGTGCGTTGGCGGCCGGGAATCGGACCCCGGACTAGATGCATGGTCGGCGAGCATCGTAACCGCTGTGCCACCGATACACTCGATTAGCTTGCATTAACATCGAATCAAATTGTTGTTAACGGTTGAGTTGCTTGATTAGTATTGCACTGTGTATTTGATTATGTCTGTAAAGCCTTGTTATTGAAAGGGGTATATGACAAAAGGTATAAAATATATTTCATTCTTGTACAGGTTATAGCACGGGGTGATACACAAAGCACTAGGTTGAGGAGGTTGTCTATATTTATTATTGATCAGATTCACAGGCATTTTATGGTGTCGACTGTCTGCCTGACTGACTGGAGTCCTCAGGATGCTAAGACCCAATGACTAGAGGCTATTAGTGGTATGGCTCAAAGTCGTTCTCTATGGTGTAGATGCGTTCAGTTTTTGTAATCTCCCAGATCTTAAAAAAAGCCCTGCATGTTTCTCCATGTTACTGTTCTTTCTTGGATTGCATGGAGGATTTCATCATGAGCTGACATCAGTCAGAGAACCACTGGAAAACCTGGGATTACTGGACAGCTGTTTCAGTACTCTAAAGAGTTGTTGTACGTCGATTCATCGCCTTTCTCAATGATTGTTACGTTACCTTCCGTTCTCCATCTTTATTTTTTACATACACTTGTGAATTATGATCAATTGAAATAAATGCACACTTATGCTAGGTGGTGTAATTCGTACATCGCAGCCTTAGAGCTTTTTATTCTACTAATTTCAGGGATAATATTTCCTACACGATACGGGTTCGAAAGCTGTTTGCAGTTGTATAGATGTATTCACAATTTACTCTTTGATTAAATGTCTTGGTATACATGCACACATCAACATCCCTTTTAACCTGTGCATAACTAGAACCAATTTCATTATTTTCATTGACTGCATTCG